AACTGCTGTCCTTGTAGAGCTGATAGGGTGTGGAGGCAACAAAGTGAGACGCACAGACTGCCTGCCAGTGGAAGGTGTTAAGGAGAGAAGGCAGGGGCAGGGAGTGAATGTGGAGGAATGAAACCTTAGAAGGGAAAGATGGTGACTTTTGAGTGAAGGTCTGCAGGAAGGGAGGTGGCTGGTTATTTCAGAGTCTGGGGAAAGCGTTTCAGGCTGAGGGATTAGCAGATGCCAAGGCTCAGAGGTGGGGCATGTCTGAAGAAGCGTGTCCGAGAAGGCAGGAGGAGGGACTTCCCTGGTGGTCCAGTGGCCAAGACTCTGCTCTCCCAGTGCAGGGGGCCTGGGTTCGATCCCTAGTCAGGGAACTAAGATCCTGCATGCCGCAACTAAAGACCCTGAGCACTGCGACTATAGACCCAGCGCAGCCAAATAAATAAATATATGCATGCTCAGTGGCTCAGTCGTGTCTGACTCTTTCTGGCCCCATGGACTGTAGTCTGCCAGGCTCCCCTGTCCATGGGATTTTCCAGGCAAGAGTACTGGAGTGGGTTGCCACTTCCTATTCTAGGAGATCTTCCCCACCCAGGGATCAAACCTTTGTCTCTTGTGTCTCCTGCATTGGCAGGCAGATTCTTTACCACTAGCGCCACCTGGGAAGCCCAATTACAGGGAAGGCAGGAGGCCGGCGGGTGGGGGCAGTGGAAGGAGCTAGGAGAACAGGACTGCAGGCCCCCGAGGTCACTGCCTTGGTGGGAGATGGGAAGCCCTTGCAAGGTTTTGAGGAGGTCTGTGTGACTCCTCTTTGGACTGGGTCCACTGCAGCTGCTCATGGAGAACAGGCTGGGGTCAAGGATGGGTGTAGGGTGACCAGCTCTGGGGCCCTGTCATCCTGCCAAGAGGTGATGGGAGCTAAGCTGGCCTGGAGTGTGTGGCCGGTTTGAAACTATGGATATTAAGGGTGGCGCCTGAAGATGTGTTAGACTGCCTGGATGACGGGTAACAGAAGTCTCACAGGTGACCCCAAGGTTTTTGGCCTAATATGTTATTTTCTTGGGGTTGCCATAGCATGTCAGGCTTTAGAACAACAGAAGTTTATTCTCTTGGTTCTGAGGCCAAAAGTCTGAAATTAAGATGTGGTCAGGTCGTTCTCCCTTGCAAGTTACCAGGGGAGGATTCTCCTTTGCTTCCTCCAGCGTTTGGCACCTCCTGGTGTTCCTCAGTATTCCTTGGCTTTAGGTGCATGCCTCCAGTCACTGCCTCTGTTGTCACATGGCTTCTCACTCTGTGTCCCCTCTCTGTGTCTCTTCTCTTCTTATAAGGATACCAGTCATATGGGTATTCCATACTCTATCCTGTGTGATCACAGACCCCATTATGATCTCAGCTTAACTAGTGACATCTGTAATGATCCTCTTTCCATCAAGGGCGCATTCTGTGGTGCTGGGGGTTAGGACTGAACCTATCTTTTTTAAAAAAACAAAAACAAACAAACAAAACCAAAAACAAACTATTTGCTGTGCCGCCTGGCTTGTGAGATTCTTGTTCCCCAGCCAGGCCTTCCCAAGTAGCTCAGTGGTAAAGAATCTGCCTGCCAGTTTAGGAGATGCAAGTTTGATTCCTGGGTCAGGAAGATCCCCTGGAGAAGGAATTGGCAACCCACTCCAGTATTCTTGCCTGGAGAATCCCATGTACAGAGGAGCCTGATGGGTTGCATACAGTCCATGGGGTCACAAAGAGTCAGAAGTGACTTAGCAAGTAAACAACAACAACAGCAGTTCCCCAGACAGGGATCGAATCCAGGCCCATGGCTGTGAAAGCACCAAGTCCTAACCACTGGACCACCAGGGAATACCCCGAACCTGTCTTTTTGAGGGACATAATTCAACTCATAACATCAGCATAGCTGGAAGATGTTGCCAATAATCAAGATGGGTAGAGAGCCATGTGGAAAATTTCAGGAGCTCATGTGAGGCCCTTTTAAGTTTGAGATGCTTGTTGGGATCCAGGAGGAGGATGGAGAAGGTGGGTCCAGAGTCTTAGGCCTGGTCCCCACTGGACAGATCACCTGGGAGCCCTCCCCAGGACAGTGGGTGTGGGTAAAGTGAGGAGGGGTCCACAGATGGGGAGAGAGCAGCAAGCAGGCAAGGGGGCTGAGAGGGGAGGGAATAGGCAAGGCATGGGTTCTGGGGGCCGAGGAAGAAACGGTTTCCAAGAGACCATGTAGAATGCTGGGCCCTGGGAGAACAGACAAGAGGACTTAGAAGTGTGGATGTCAGCAGAGACCTTAGAAGAGCAAGCTGGGGAGGGAGCAGAATTGATGGGAGAGGGTCTGAGGGAAAATAGAAGAGTTAGAAAATCTCCAGTTGCAACCATTGTGGTAATAGTTTGGTTTAGGCAAAAGCCATCAGTGAGGACTAAAGCCCTGGAGTGTGCCATCACTGGGGAGCAGGCTATCTCAAAGTGTCACCCCAGGACTACCTACTCATTGGTGGTTTAGTGGCTAAGTCATGTCCAACTCTTTGCAACCCATGGACCATATCCTGCCAGGCTCCCCAGTCCATGGGCTTTTCCAGGCAAGAATACTGGAGTGGTTTGCCATTTCCTTCTCCAGGGGATCTCCCGACCCAGGAATTGAACCTGGGTCTCCTGCATTGCAGGCGGATTCTTTACCACTGAGCCAGCAGAGAAGCCCTGTATCTACTCATTACAGAGAGAGAACACGCCTTTACAGAGTATAGCAAGGGGACCTCCTTGGTAGTCCAGTGGTTAAGAATTCACTTTCCAATACAGGGGACAGGAGTTCGATCCCTGGTCAGGGAACTAGGATCCCACATGCAGCAGGGCAACTAAGCCTGTCAGCTGCAACCAAGACCCAGCACAGCCAAATAAGTAAATATTAAGGCAAACAAACAAACAAGATACAGTGAGATCCCCAGATGGTCTGGCACTCGGGCACGCTGAAGGAGACATAGTCCACTCTCTGTCGTCCCTGCCCATATGCTCATCTTTACACTATGTGAGAAGAATTGATGCTTTTGAGCTATGGTGTTGGAGAATACCATAGTGAGTCCCTTGGACTGCAAGGAAATCAAACCAATCAATCCTGAAGGAAATCAATCCTGAATATTCATTAGAAGGACTGATGCTAAAGCTGAAGCTCCAGTATTTTGGCCACGTGATGCAAAGAGCTGACTCATTGGAAAGACCCTGATGCTTGGAAAGATTGAAGGCAGGAGGAGAAGGGGATGACAGAGTATGAGATGGTTGGATGGCATCACTAACTCAATGGACATGAGTTTGAGCAAGCCCCAGGAGATAGTGAAGGACAGGGAAGTCTGGCATGCTACAGTCCATGGGGTCACAAAAAGTCAGACACGGCTGAGCGACTGAATGACAGCAAACTATGCGAGACCCCCAGACAAATCCAGAAGGAAGGGCTCGCGGCGAAACTGCTGGCCTGGCTGCTTCAATGTCCTGAAAGACAGGGTGGAAAATGTGGGACATTCATTCTTTTTTTTAATTTTAAAATGTATATATATGTATGTATATTTTATTTAGCTGTACTGGTTCTCATTTGCATCCCTCAGGATCTTTGATCTTCATTGAGGCATGCAGGATCTTGAGTTTTGGCGTTCAAACTCTTAGTTGCGGCATGTGGTATCTACTTACCCTGACCAGGGCTTGAACCTAGGCCCCTTGCCTTGAGAGCTCGGAGTCTTAGCCACTAGGGAAGTCCCAGGACATTCATTCTTAAAGGGGTAAACACAGCCAAACGTCTGTACATATGAACCTTGATTGGATACCATGTGGGGAAAAAAAATCTGTGAAGGACATTATTTAGACACTTGTGGAAATGCCAAGGTAGGCTATAGTTGGACAAAGTATCATCTCTGAGTTTCCCCGAGTGTGACCACACATAGCGTTGTGTGGGGTTTTGCACGAGAACATCTGTGCTCCCAGGTGGTGTTGATTTCCTCACCAGGGGAGGGGTGTCACGAGCAGTGTGGCAAATGTGAATGACTGGCGGAGCTAGAAGGGTGTGTGGATGTCATTGTACTATTCTTACAACTTTCTGTAGGTTTGAATGATTTTAAAACAAAGAGTTGAGGGAAAAGAAAGGGTAATGGGAGGAGAGAACAGAAAGTGGTGGTTATGGATGCCTGGTCTTACAGAGTTTAGTTATAAGTGGAGGGGGTGCTGGAGCTGGGGAAATGGATTGGTTTGCCCATGGGAATGATCTGGTGAGAGGTGGGGCTCGGTGAGAGGTGGGTCTCGGTGGAAGGCTGGTCTGGGATTGGGGCAGGGTGAAGCCTCCACAGCCCAGGACGGGTGGGTGGCTGTGGTGGTTGGGTCTCATGGAGTGTCTTCTGTTTCCCTGGAAAAGTAGGCAGTGGGTCAGTGGGGAGTGAGTTTGGGATGCTTAGGGGATGGAGGAGATTGGAAGGTCATCTGTGGGGATGGAGATGAGAACAGACTGGAGTGAATGGGTAAATCTGAGGTCACGTCACTAAGCAACGGCCCATGGGTCCCACATAGGCACCCAGATGCCAGCATCGTTCCCTGACTCCTCCATAAGCCCCTCCACACCCTGACTTAGAAATCCACGGGGGTCAGCTGTTTGGGGGCTGCACAGGTCATAGAATTGAGGGCAGAGGCTCTGGGCATGGAGGACGAGGAGGCATTCTGTTTGAAGACACTGAGTTGGGCCAAGTGACTGGCAGCCCCAGCTTCACTTTTTGGGGCCCTTGCTGCCTGTGTTCCGGGAGAGGCCCTGGGAGCACCTGCTTCATGGTTACTTGGCGCTGTTTCTTGCGGGCAGGGCTTTGCTGTCTCTGCATCCCCCAGAATGGACACCTTGTAGGTGCTTGGGAAACATTTGATGAATAAATTAATAAGCACAGGCCCCTCTGGAACACGGATGGTTGGACATGAAGAGCAGCCAGGGGCCCCGTGTACCACAGGGCTTTGGGTCCACCCCGCCCCCATCCTTTTCCACACAGGTATGCCACCACGCCGACTGCCAGCAGCTGCACCACCGGGGCCCCCTCAACCTCTGCGAGGTCTGTGACAGCAAGTTCCACAGCGCCATGCATTATGATGGGCATGTCCGCTTCGACCTGCCCCCCCAAGGTGAGCACAGGGAGGGGCCGGTCCCTAGAGCCCCTACCTGGGGGCATAGAGTCCTGGTAACTGTAGGCATCTTGACAAGGCCATCAGAAGGACAGGAGTCAGCTGTGAACAATGAAACCCAAATCCACTGCTGCCCCTTTTGTTCCACAAGTATTTGTTTTTTAACATTTTATTTTGTATTGAGGTATAGCTGATTAACAGGGATTCCCAGGTGGTGCTAGTGGTAAAGAACCCACATGCTAATGCAGGAGACATAGAGACACAGGTTCGATCCCTGGGTCGGGAAGATCCCCTGGAAGAGGCCATGGCAACCCACTCCAGTATTCTTGCCTGGAGAATCCCATGGACAGAGGAGCCTGGCGGGCTACAGTCCATGAGGTTGCAAAGAGTCGGACACGATTGAAACAACTTAGCATGCATGCACGCACACATAGCTGATTAACAATGTTGTGATAGTTTCAGATGAACAGGGAAGGGACTGGATCATACTATACATGTATCCATTCTCCCCCAAACCCTCCTCCCTTCCAGGCTGCCACATAACACTGAGCAGAGTTCCATGTGCTGTACAGTAGATCCTTGTTGGTTATGCATTTTAAAACTCCCTAACTATCCCTTCCTGTCATCCTCCCCCCTGCCAGTTTTTTAACAAGAGGAAAAGTTGGGGACCGGCCCAGCTCAAGAGCCAGCCTATCTCCTCTAGGGGCCAGGTCCTTCTTGACGGGCCTGCCCCTGCCCGGGCCAGCATGGAGAAAGCCCTTCTGTCTTCTCCTCCAGGCAGGGGATTTCTGGATAGATCCTCCAGCCAGGCAGCCAGCAGACAGAGGCAGTGGGAGGTGGGGTGGGCAGGTCAGAAGGAACTTGCAGCAGGAAATAAGAGACCCCTCCTGCTGAACAGGCACCTGGCCCAGTCCCACTGCCAGCTGACTGTGCTGAGGTGGCTTTTGTCTCCTTCCCCAGCTGGTCAGAGGGACAAAAGGACTGTTCCCCAGGGCCCCCTGGGACTTTGGGTGTAGTCACAGTGGTGACCTGCAAGAAAGGGGAGGGGGGAGGGGAAACTTGCAAGAAAGCCATGGAGTTTGGTCCCTCCCTGCAGCAATCCTAGAGGCAGTGCTTCTTTATGCCTATTTCATAGATGGGTAAATTGAGGCGGAGTTGTACTGGGCACAGGGCATCACCCAGGGCGTCATCCCAGGGCCCTTGTGTCTTTTTGGTTCTGGGGATGGATAAATGCTAAGCAGTGACTGACTTCTGACTCCTGACTCGGCCCTGGCTTGTTAGAGAGGGGGGGGTCCCAGGGTCCATAGCCAGCTTTAGTTTCTCTGGAGACTACCATATTGGAAGACTAAGAAGGGGACTGGGAACAGGGAGGCAGGCACAACCCCACTCCCATTCTACTCCACAGGCTCTGTCCTGGCTCGGAATGTGTCCACCCGGTCATGCCCCCCACGCACCAGTCCTGCCGTGGACTTGGAGGAGGAGGAGGAGAGCTGTATGGATGGCAAGGGGTAGGTGAGGGGTTGGTGAGCGGAGAAGACACCTGGGGGCTCCCACGGCTGGGTGTCAGGTCACAGATCTAGGGACCAGAGATCCCTCCTAGCCCCTGCTGCTACCCAGATTCCTGGAGGGTGAGCCTCTAGGGCTTCTGGAAGCAGACTCCACCTGTCTAGGGACCCTGGGTATGACTCCTGGATTGGCCACTAGGGGGCGCACAGCTCCTTGTGAGCCTCTCCCCACCTCCACCCCTGCTTGCCTGAGCCAACCTGAGTTACCTGGCCACCTACAGTCAGCAAGGGGTGGGTCACCAGAGGGGGCCTACCCACATCCCACCTGGATGAGAGCCCACCCATGCCTCCAGCCTCTGCCCTGACTGGCTTCCTTACAGGGACCGAAAGAGCACAGGCCTGAAACTCTCCAAGAAGAAAGCCAGGAGGAGACACACAGATGTAAGAAGTCCCCAGGCTGGCAGAGCAGCCCCCCCTGCCCCAAGCCTCTGTCCCTCCTGGGCCCTTTCCATTCCCAAGGCTGGGCCTGTCTGCTCTGAATTCCAGGACCAGGGATGGGGCGTGGAGTGAGCGTGTCTCTCTGTTGCCGCCCAGCCCTGCCCACCTTAGCTCAGGTTGGGGATGCTCCAGGAGCTCCTGCCTCCAGCAGGAGGGCTGCCAGCGGCCTCCCCGGGACAGAAAAGGACAGGGAGATCCCTGTGCTCACCAGGACCCTGGGGTGGGGAGGGTAGGGCGCGAGGGGTGCAGATGCTGAGATGCATGTCCGCTCAGGACCCAAGCAAGGAGTGCTTCACCCTGAAATTTGACCTGAACGTGGATATTGAGACGGAGATTGTACCAGCCATGAAGAAGAAGTCTCTGGGGTAGGGCTTGATGGGGCTGAGGGGAGAACGGAGCTGGGGGATAGGTGTGGCCTCAGCAGGTATGACTGTGTGTCTGTGTGGTGGCCTGTAAACGAATGTATCCTCCCCCAAGGACACCCCACTCATGTGCAGTGAGGGCCTGGGAGCCATGCTTGAATGGACGTGGCTCACCCCTGGGGCGTGGACTGGCATGTGACAGGGTCTGGCCCTGGTGTGTCAACACGAATGTGTGAGGGCGAGGGTGTGTTGGCTTGTATATACACGTGTGAACCTCCTATTCGTGTGTGCATGTATAAACCTGGGTGTGATCCCCCTGGGGTCTCCCTTTTCCTTTGGGGGGCGGGGTGGGGGTTCATGTGATGGCTCTGGGCAGGGTGGGGGGTTCATGTGATGGCCCCCAACACACACACCTCCTATCCTGGGGCAGGGAGGTGCTGCTGCCAGTATTTGAAAGGAAGGGCATTGCACTGGGCAAAGTGGACATCTACCTGGACCAGTCCAACACGCCCCTGTCCCTCACCTTTGAGGCTTACAGGTTTGGGGGACACTACCTGCGGGTCAAAGGTGAGCAGGGGATATGGGGCGCAACTGGGTCCTCTGGAGAGGGTGTTGTTTCCCAGCTCAGGTTCCCGTTGGCCATGGCCTTGAGCAGGCTCATTACCATACAGGTGTCTCTGCTGGGTGGCAGTGCTGGGTGCTGGCAGGGCGGGGCTTTGGGGGAGGGCAGCCAGGCCTTGGTTTGGATCCTCCGGGGAGAGAGAGGACTGGGGCCTTGTCCTCCACTGGCCTGGGTTTTGAGGACCTTTACTTGTCCCCGCATGCCTCCCCAGCCAAGCCAGGGGACGAGGGGAAGGTGGAGCAGGGGGTGAAGGACTCCAAGTCCCTGAGTCTGCCGATCCTGCGGCAAGCCGGGGCCGGGCCCCCGGCCCAGGAGCGCGTGGACCCCCAGAGCCGCCGGGAGAGCCTGGATATCCTGGTGAGGAGGGGCCAGAGGGAAGGTCACCTGGGCCCCTTGCTGCTCCTGCTGGGGGCTTTCCTCCCCCTTCTGTGAAATGGGGCTGGCTCGGGGTGTACGGGGATCCCCCCACTGCAGGGGGATGGGCCCAGGAATTCTGAGTGTTCATGCATGAGGAGTCTGAGCATGTGTGTCCAAGCAGGCATTGTGTGGGGAGTGAAGCTGTGTGTCACTGGCTGTGCTCGTGAGCGTTCGTCAGGGATCCACTTGGATGTGGGCTTCTAAGTGCACCCGAGTGTGTGTGACTCTGTGTTCTCCCACGTGCTTCATGCTGCTGGTTGGGGTTGGCGGTGGGGGGAGGCGTGGCCCAGGGGTGCCTGTCTGGACCTTCCAGCCCCCAGGGCATGTGTAGGCCTCAGGAGAGGTGGCCTCACAGGGTGGGGGAATGCAGAGACCCTCCTGCGTCCCAGGTGGGTTTGAGGCCCTGGAGATGTGTGGGGTGGGGCCGTGGGGGTCAGGGTGGACCTGCCTCTTGACCATTGCCCCCCGGCCAGGCCCCTGGTCGCCGACGCAAGAACATGTCAGAGTTCCTGGGGGAGGCAAGCATCCCTGGGCAGGAGCCCCCCACACCCTCCAGCTGCTCTCTGCCCAGCGGCAGCAGCAGTGGCAGCAGCAGCAGCAGCAGTGGCAGTGACAGCTGGAAGAACCGGGCAGCCAGTCGCTTCAGTGGCTTCTTCAGCTCAGGCCCCAGCACCAGCGCCTACGGCCGGGTATGTGGGCCCGGATGCCCTGAGGCAGGGCAGCTGGCTGACCCTTGACCCCTGACCCTGACCATGGGTCTCCTCTCAGGAGATGGACAAGATGGAGCAGCTGGAGGGCAAGCTGCACGCCTACGGCCTCTTTGGGCTGCCCAGGCTGCCCCGGAGGCTGCGCTTTGACCATGACTCCTGGGAGGAAGAAGGTGACGAAGAGGAGGATGAGGATGATGCTGGACTGCGGCTGGAGGACAGCTGGCGGGAGCTCATTGACGGGCACGAGGTGGGTGCTGCCTGCCTGCCCACAGCTCCCCCCTTCTCAGGGAAAGGGGGGCATTATCACCCCTGCCCCACTCCATGGGGCCCTTCCTAGGGTGGCAGGATGTTCCAAGGACAGCCCCGCCAGGCTGCTGTCATCATTAACCAGCTTTGGAGGAACTCAGGCAAGGTGAAAGTGTGGTGCGCCACTTGGCTGGCCCAGAACTTGGGGGGGCCTCTGTGTCTCAAATGGGAAAAAAGGTGGTGTGTGGGCCCACTCCACCTGCTCCCCTGATCTGGCCACCCCGGGGCTTCTGGAGACACCCTGCCCTCCCCACAGAAGCTGACCCGGCGGCAGTGCCACCAGCAGGAGGCGGTCTGGGAGCTCCTGCACACGGAGGCCTCCTACATTAAGAAGCTGAGGGTGATCACCAACGTGAGTGTGGGGCCCAGAGCCACCCGCATCCCTGCCCACCCCGGCCCCCACTGGGGCCTCCTCTGGGTGTCTCTGAGCAGAGTTGGACCTTTGCAGAAGGAGCAGGTGCCAAGCAACAAAGGGGGAGGGGTGTGGGGGGTGGGCCACACCCCAGCATGGAGGTGATTCCCTGGGGCCCCAGGGAATTGGGAGGGGGCTTGGGGCAAGTCTGCTGGGTTGAGCTGAGTAACACAGACCTCATCCTTTCACTCATCTGCTCAACGGCTGTTTCTAAACACCTGCTGTATGCCGGGTGTCCAGCAGCCCACACCCTAGATGCGGAGACAAGATGGGTATGCACTGGGGGCGGGGGTGTGTAGGGACTTTGACCTGGGAGAGCAGCTGTCCTGGGCTTGTGGGCTCAAGGAAGACACCCTCTGGGCAGAAACCAGAGCGAGCCAGGGCAGAGCTGGAGGAGAGAGTTCCAGGTGTGGCAGTCAGGGCAGCGTCCCACCCAGAGCGGCCCTCCAGGTGGGGCCTGGATAGGGGGACCCGCAGCCGGGCCATGGAACTGGGTCTTTTCTCAAAGGGTGAACCCTCTCTGTCCTAGGCTGCCTCAGGGCCTCCCAGGATGGGGAAGGGGTGAAGGGAGCCTTAGAGTCTGGGTGGGGCATCGGGACGGGGAACCCCCGACTCCAGATGCAGTGCTCCTTGCCCCCACAGCTGTTCCTGTGCTGCCTTCTGAACCTGCAAGAGTCGGGACTGCTGTGTGAGGTGCCGCGGGGCCTGGGATGGGGGCGGTCCCAGGAAGTAATGGGGAGGGGCTAAAGCCAGGGAGGGGCGGGACAGGGGCGGGGCTGACTGGTGGAGTGAGTGAGGGGCGGGGCCTGGCACCTAATTGTTGACGTGGGATGATGCTGAAGAATGCTCGGAGCGGGGCTAACGGGTAGAGTGAGGGGCGGGGAAGAGGATGGGCAGGGGCGGGGCCCGGCCCCTAAAGGTGGGCAAGGAATGGTGCTGAAGAAGGCTGGGGGCGGGGCTGACAGGGCGTAAGGGGGATGGATAGGGGCGGGGTCTAGAAGAGGGGCGGGGCCGAGAGCACCTCCACCACCAACCCCGCCCCCCAGGTGGAGGCGGAACGCCTGTTCAGTAACATCCCGGAGATCGCGCGGCTGCACCGCGGGCTGTGGGGCAGTGTGATGGCACCGGTGCTGGAGAAAGCGCGGCGCACGCGGGCGCTGCTGCAGCCCGGGGATTTCCTCAAAGGCTTTAAGATGGTACGGGTCAGGTCGGACACAGATGCAGGGCTGGGGCGCCAATCCCGTCTGCCCAACACCCCAGCCTCCCCCCAACCGGTGGCCCGAAAGACCCGTGGTGGTTAAGAGACGTAGAATTCAGAGCCGGTCGCCGTGGTGTGAAACCCCACCTGGCCGTGTGCCCTTGCTACCACCTGGCCGAGGTCGATCGCTTTCGCTGAGGTTCCGTGTCCTCGTGTGGAAAACGGGGATAATAAGCTTGCCCCCTGTTGGTCTGGGAGAGGCAGTAAGGGAGGAGCGAGCGCGGGGCCCCCTCCCGCGGGGGTGGGGCGCGCGGTAACCGGTGCTATGCCTTTTCCGCCCCGCGCCAGTTTGGCTCCCTCTTCAAGCCCTACATCCGATACTGCATGGAGGAGGAGGGCTGCATGGAGTACATGCGTGGCCTGCTGCGTGACAACGACCTCTTCCGAGCTTACATCACGGTGAGGGCTGGTGGGGCTCGCCAGGGGCCAGGGTACTGCACGATGGGCTCCCCTGGGTGGCAGGTGCCGGGCGTGGGGGGGTGGGGAGCGCCCTGAGTCCCGCTCCGCCTCCCCGCCGCAGTGGGCCGAGAAGCAGCAACAGTGCCAGCGGCTGAAGCTGAGCGACATGCTGGCCAAGCCCCACCAGCGACTCACCAAGTACCCGCTGCTGCTCAAGTCAGTGCTAAGAAAGACCGACGAACCGCGTGCCAAGGAGGCCGTTGTCACCATGGTAACTGGGTCGCGGGCAGGGTCCCTCCCTCTGGCTGGCGGCCCCTCCTGACCCCGTCCTTGAACTGCCCTGTCCCGCCCGCCCTAGATCGGCTCGGTGGAACGCTTCATCCACCACGTGAACGCGTGCATGCGGCAGCGCCAGGAGCGGCAGCGGCTGGCGGCCGTGGTGAGTCGCATCGACGCCTACGAGGTGGTGGAGGGCAGCAACGACGAGGTGGACAAGGTGGGTGCCATCGTCTGTGCGGGGGTCCTTGGCCCTGCTGGGCGCGGGGAAGGGCCACAGTGGCAGATGGGAACTACACTGGGAATCTCATCTGAGGTCTCCCAGCTGAGATGAGGGGTCAGACCTTGACCACTCTTGCCCCCGCCCCCAACCCCACCCCCAGCTCCTGAAGGGATTTCTACATCTGGACCTGACAGCCCCCATCCCTGGAGCCTCCCCTGAGGAGACACGTCAGCTGCTGCTGGAAGGGAGCCTGAGAATGAAGGAGGGGAAGGACAGCAAGGTGACTCTAGGAACCTCCCCATGCCCAGAGCCCTTGCCTCCCCCTTACCCTGTGGGGTTTGGACCATCCCTTCCTCGGGACCTCCTGGGCCCTAGTCAGTGATTCTTAGCTGCCCCGTCCCTTGGGTAGCAATGCAAGGACGAGTGCCTTTATGTGAGGAATGACTGGGTTTTTTTGTTTCAAAATTATTTGTAATTGAAGGATAATCGCTTTACAATATTGTGTCAAGGGATAACTTTTTCCCTGCAGTTTACTTTTTACAAATACAGCAGCCGGATCCCGGCCATCAGGTGCCATTCTAGCTCACCTGTCAGTGCCATAGTGTGTTCCTGTTGGGAGGGAGGAGCCCATTCTGTGAGCAGGCTGGGAATAGCCTAGAGTCTTGCTATGGAGCTATGAATTTTTCAAGCACTATATAACCCAGAGCCTGCAAATTACGATTTTTTAAAAAATTTATTTATATTCGGCTGCGCTGGGTCTGTGTTGCTGCATGAGAGCTTTCTGTAGTTGCAGCGAGCCAGGACTACTCTCTAGTTTTGGTGCACGGGCTTCTCTTGGCAGTGGCTTCTCTTAGTTGCAGGGCACGGGCCCTAGTTGAACAAGCTTAGTTGCTCTGTGGCATGTGGGACCTTCCCCGACCAGGGATTGTACCAGTGTCCTCTGCACTGTAAGGCAGATTCTTAATCAGGGAAGTCCTGCCAATCATGATTTTAAAACCACCTTCCTTTCCCTCTTTAATATAAACTTTTAACTGGCATAAGTCACAAGTAAGTAGCTGGATGAGAGTAAGTCATTTTGTTCTTCATTTGAATGTTACTCTCAGTTCAATGGGGGCAGAGAAGAGGTGCTTGACACCAGTGCTCCCAGGGGAGGGTGTTGAAGCAGACAGGCGGAGGGTGCCTGCCTTGGCCCTGACCTCTGGCCTCTCTTGCTCTTCCTGCATTCCCTCCCTACCCCCCACCACTCCCAGATGGACGTGTATTGCTTTCTCTTCACCGACCTGCTCTTGGTGACCAAGGCAGTGAAGAAGGCCGAGAGGACCAAGGTGATCAGGCCACCGCTGCTGGTGGACAAGATCGTGTGCCGGGAGCTTCGGGACCCAGGTGAGGAGGCCGGCTCCTGGCCCCTGGGTGGGACCTGTGATGGGTGGGACCTATGGTGGGCTGGGGTCTTGGTCCCAGCTAGCACTGATGCAAGCCCTTCCTAACCAGGCTCCTTCCTCCTCATCTACCTGAATGAGTTCCACAGTGCTGTGGGGGCCTACACGTTCCAGGCCAGTGGCCAGGCTTTGTGCCGTGGCTGGGTGGATGCCATCTACAATGCTCAGGTGAGAGCAGAGTGGTGGGCAGCCTGGCAGGACAGCCTGGTGGGGGCTGCTGCTCACCAGCTGTGGGGCCCCTGTGTACCCCTATCTCCAGAACCAGCTGCAGCAGCTGCGTGTGCAGGAGCACCCAGGCAACCAGCAGCACCTGCAGAGCCTGGAAGAGGAGGAGGATGAGCAGGAGGAGGAGGAGGAAGAGGAGGAGGAAGGCGGGGAGAGTAGCACTTCGGCTGCCAGCTCCCCTACCATTCTGCGCAAAAGCAGCCACAGCCTTGACTCCCAGCGCTGGTACGTTCGCCCGGGACCGCTCAGCAAGCTGGAGCAGAGCAGGTGCTCCGCCCCAGGCCTCCTGACCCCAAGGCCACCGACACTGAGCGGGACCCCGTTCCCTGGGTGTGGCTTTATGATATGAACACAGTGGGCATGGGGAGGGGGGCTCTGCCTCCCACCAGCGAGGATGGCAGACGGATTTCAACTTGAGTGCCCCCTCTGATCTATTAGTGGTAGCTGCCCAGAGCTGAGCTGAAGATTCTTAGACTATATCTGACAGCGGATGCTGTGGTCACGACAGACACCATTCCTGATATCTGTGTTTCAGGCTCACATGCTGCCTGCTTGCAGTCTTTGAGCCTCAGACTCAGGAGGGCAGAGGCTCTCAACTTCTGTGTCCAGCCGTCTAGGCTTCCTTTAGCTGGGCTGACTCCCTTCTCGGCCCCCACAGTGCCTCGGATGGCTCTACGGAGACTCTGGCCATGGTGGTGGTGGAGCCTGGGGAGTTGCTGTCCTCTCCTGAATTTGGGGGCGGCCCCTTCAGCTCCCAGTCAGACGAGACCTCTCTCAGCACCACTGCCTCATCTGTCACTCCTACCAGCGAGCTGCTGCCCCTGGGCCCTGTGGACGGCCGCTCCTGCTCCATGGACTCTGCCTACGGCACCCTTTCCCCCACCTCCCTGCAAGACTTTATGGCCCCAGCGCCCATGGTGGAGTCAGCACCCCGGCCCCCAGAGTCACCACCAGCCCCGTCACCCCCACCCTCGCCCCGCCTCCGCCGCCGCACTCCTGTCCAGCTGCTGCCCTGCCTGCCCCACCTGCTCAAGTCCAAATCCGAGGCCAGCCTCCTCCAGCTGCTGTCAGGGGCCACCACCCGCAGAGCGCCCCCAGCCCCTAGCCGCAGCCTGTCGGAAGTCTGCTTGGCTGCTACCGTCCCCGGCATGAGGACTCAGGGCTCCTGTCAAGAAGCTGGGCCCAGCTGGTATTGCCAGGGGGCACCTGGCCCTGGCCCCCAGCTGGCACAGCTAGAGGGTGGAGCCCACTGTCCAGGTGGGGAGCCCGAAGGACCCACCAGGAGGAGCAGAGAGCTGTCCTTGGGGGCCTCGACCAGGGTCCAGCCTGAGCCTCCCCTGGGGATCTCGGCCCAGCACAGGAAGCTGACGCTGGCCCAGCTCTACCGAATCAGGACTACCCTGCTGCTTAACTCCACCCTCACTGCCTCGTGAGTGGCCTGGCCTGGGGTGGAGGACAGGTGGCCCAGTGTACTGGGGGCACTGTCATGGCTGGGAACAGATGGCACTTGGGCACAGGGATGGGAGAGGGAGCCTGAGACCTGCCCCAGCATCTGGCAAGGATATGCACAGTGGGCAGCGGTGAAGAAGCCTGAGGATCCCAGTCAGGAGAGGGTGGCCAGATCCCCTCCAAATACCATCAGCCAAGGAAGGACTGTCTCTCCCCTCCTCTCCACTGCAGGGAGGTCTGAGCAGAGGGAGGCCCCCAAGGGTGCCACTGACCAAGGGACAGCAGACAGCATGCCTCCTGGGGCGTGCCGTCCCCTGCTCCAGCTGCTGCCGTAATGTGCGCACGGGCCGGAGTGCCCAGCCGGACACCGCCCCTGCCCCTGCCCCCAGGGGCCCAATTTGCACTTTGCCAGACCGGATGGAAGTGGAAGAGGGCTCAGCAGAGGCCCAGGCTGCAGGACCCCCTGACAGTCACCACTGTCACTAACCTGCCTTTTTCCCCACCCCCCACCCCCAGCAGAGGCAGGGTCCTTTGCCCAGTGCTCTCTGAAGTCAGGACCTCCAGTCCTCTGGGCTGGACTCCAGGGCTGGGGTCCCAGGCAGCCCTTCCCTCCTCCACCCACATCTGGCACCAAATAGGATGACGGTTGCCCTGCCTTTAGCCCCCTCCCCCTCTTCCCAGTCCTTGGGATGGGCTCTGTGTAAAGTTGCATATTTATTGAGCTTTTGATTCTTTTATAAAGACTTGTATATACTTCACTGGAAAGAGTCCTTTGCTTTTGGAATACCCCCTTTCTGGACTCAAGTATACTCAGTGCCCCCCTGGGCTCCTGTCCCCTCCATCTGTGGTGGGCCACTGCTGGGCGAGACTGGGAGCAGAATGGACTTCGTGGGTCAGAAATCGCCTGACCAGTACTCCCCAGGTCAGCCCTGTCCCCTGCCACAGCCATGAAGTCCACCACTAGGGACCCCCACAAGGTGCCCTCCCCATGGGGCCCTGGAGGGCCCTACCCCAAGCCACCGCTCTGAGCTGGCGCCAGGGTGGGCCACGGGCTCAGGCTACTGTGAGGGCCCCCTAGGACTGCCTTCCAGGGCAGGGTCATGCCCTGTGTGGGGAGGCTGGGTCTCCCACCTGGGTTCTTCTGGCCCAAGCCCTCTTGGCTGAGGGTGCCTCTGAGCCCTGGAGAGAAGAGATCGCCTCTCTAGGAAGAGGTAGTCTCTGGGTTGAGCTAGAACCCAGGCGTGGGACCCGGACGCGGCCCCTCACTATGCGCACCTTGCCCACCAGCTGCCTCAGGTGAGCTCAGGTGCGGGCAGGGGGCTCCCTTCTCGGCAGCCCCGCCCTGGCCCCCACCCCTGAGGCGGGCTCTTCAGACGGGGCGGGCCTGAGGGCGCCGGGCTGGGCCCCACCCGCGGCGGGCGGAGCGGGGGAAGCCCGGTCGGGTCGAGGGCCCAGCGTGGCGCCCAGGGCCATGGAACCGCGGCCGTGGCCCGGGACCTGTGCGGCGGCGGCGGCGGCGGTGAGTAGGGTCGCAGGGGCATGGCATCGAGCCTTGCCGGCGCCTGGGTCCCTGCGCCGGAGGAAGGGGACCAGGGGGGAGGGGACCGCGGGGCGGCAGAGGAAGGGGACAGGGGATGGGAAGGTAGGGGAATGCATGTCTTTGATCGGGCTTCCCTGGGGACTGGGTCCATCTTCCGACCGAGTTAGCGAGTTAGCGGTTCAGCCGGGGCGGGGTCCTTCCGCCGAGAGGAAGCACCATGTCAGGGGCCAGAGGGGTCTGGGGGATCCCGACAGAGAAAGATCAGGGTCCCCCACCTTACCGCAAGCACGGGTGGGGGTGGGGCTGCCTGGTTCCTCCGAGGTGCAGGGCAACATGCGGGGCTGGCAGGAAGCCTGTAATCTGCTCCTCCCAAGCCCTGTCTGTACCCAGGGGAAGGAAGTCAGTCTCACCCCCGACCCATGGGCACCTCCTCTGCTGAAGAACCTGAGGGCAAGCGCTGGGGTGGGAGAGACTGGGCAGAGAGAGGCCCCCGCCTGGACAGCCAGGCTGGGAGCTAGCAGCCCCTGTCCCCTAGGCTCTCCTCTTCCTGCTGCTGCTGGGTGCCCGGGCCAGCACCCCCAACCCCCGGTGTGACTGCGGCCACAGCTTCCCAAAGCGGACTGGTCTGGGCTGCTGCAAGGGCTGTCCAGCAGGTGAGGGGCTGAAGGGGTGGGAGGGACATGAGAGGAAGTGAGGGCTAACCACAGACAGGTGAGGGTCAGGTGGGGCTGGGGAGTAGAGGTAGGCAGGCTAGGGATGAGGGGAGGGGAGGCTTAAAGTAGAGCCAGAGAGGGGGGAGGGGAAGGTGGAAGCCCTCTTTGGCTGACCCCACACTGGGTTCCACAGGGCACTACCTGAAGGCCCCCTGCACAAAGCCTTGTGGCGTGGCCACCTGCCTCCCCTGTCCTCAGGGCACCTTTCTGGCCCGGGAAAACCACTACGAGACCCGCTGTGCCCGCTGCCAGGCCTGCGATGAGCTGGGTGAGGGGCTGCCTAGTGCTGGGGGTGGGGGGTGCTTGAGGACATGTCTGGCCAGGGTCTTTCTGAAGGCAGTGCTGACTCGAGCCCAGCCTTTGGGTAGGAGGCCCCTGTGCCCACCCCATGCCATCCCACCCCACCCCATGCCACCGCAGGCCACGCCATGTGGGTGCCTGCACCCTGGTCCTGCCTCAGGATGTCTGTGCGCCCCGTCATCCTGGTGACCTGTCCCTGTGCCCCAGCCTCTGGTCTGTGATGATCCCCACACTTCTCTCACTTTGGGGGCCGTCCTGTCTCTGGTGTCTGCACCTCCATTCTCCAGGGGACCTGTCCCCCACCTCTCTGTGGGGGTCTCTGGCTCTGACAGCCTCTGCTCTCCCCAAACCCCCGTTCCCACCAGCCCCCCAGATGGCCCTGAGGAACTGCTCAGCAGTGGCAGACACCCACTGTGGCTGCAGGCCAGGCTGGTTCATGGACTGCATGGTCAGCCAGTGCCGGCATGGTTCCCCCTTTCGCTGCCACCCATGCACAGACTGTGGGGCCCTGCACCGGCACACGCAGACACCTTGTGAGTACCCTCATTCTGGGCTCCCACACCCCACCCCATCCCCGCCTCCTCCTCTTCCATCCTGACCCACACCATCTCCTGGACCATAGGTTCTAGCAGAGACACCCACTGTGGGACCTGCCTGCCTGGCTTCTATGAATATGGCAAGAGCTGCGTGTCCTGTCCCACGTAACTTCCTGGCTGCCCGGGGCTGGGGGAAGGGAGGCTGGGAGCAGGGTGGGGGTCGAGGGGCGGGGAAGAGTGAACTCAGTTCTCTGGTAGATGGGCCCCCCTTCAGACACACTTTGAATGGCAAAGAGAAATCTGAATTCACTTTACGTCAGATAAGTAAGGGGGCATGTCTCTACTTTATGTCATACTTTCCTCTAGTAATCCTTCCGGCCCTATGTTAAGGATAGGATGTGTCACTTAGAGAGTCACGTTAATGTAGTTTCAAAACTTGGGCTGAGGCTCAAGATCTCTCCCTGGTTCCTTGAAGCATCTTGAGCAAGTTACTTCACCTCTTCAATCTGTTGGCTCCCCATCTGAACAGGGTGGGGGGGGTGCGAGGGACTGGTGTGTTAATAGGCTCCCCCGGGGCTATGGTTAAGGGGTGATTAGTCACTCATTTGCTCAGCAAGTTTCTTGAGTATCTACTATTTCCAGACACTGTTCCAGGTACTAGGGAGACAACAGGGAACAAAACAGGCAAATCCCAGAGCTGACACTTTAGTGCCCCTCTGTCTAGTCTTAAAGACGCTCAATAAGCGGTGTTGCTGTTGTATGAACACTGGTGACATTTCAGCAGTACTTTGGGAACGTTCTTGGGTAGAGTGAGACTCTCAGGAGGGTAGGGCCTCCAGGGTGGAGAAGATGTTGGGTGGTCCTGAGCAGTCCTTCCCAGTGTGTACCTCACCCTCCACCCATTTCTCCCTCCCCTTGCAGGAGCACCCTTGGGAGCTGTCCTGAGCCCTGTGTGGCTGTCTGTGGCTGGAGGCAGAGTATGTGGTGAACTGGAAATGCCAGTGGGAGAGCTGGGATGGGCCACGGGGAGGTCGGGGGATGGCTACCACCCACCAGCTGCTCTTTCAGTGTTCTGGGTGCAGATGCTCGTGGCAGGCCTGGTGGTTCCACTCCTGCTTGGTGCCACCCTGACCTACACATACCGCCGCTGCCATCCTTGCAAGGCCATGGGGCCCAGTAAGTGCACGTACGAACACACACACATTCTGAGAGGCCCGGGGTCAGGATGGGTAGCCCACAGCCCATTGGGCCTGGCTATGGTGGGTAAACTGAGGCAGAGAGTGATGGGAGTGGGGTGCAGAGGAACCCAAGAGGAGCTGGGCTAGCACCCAGGTTCAAGTGCCTTGCCTGATTGCTCATTAGACTCTCTGTGTCTCTCAGCAGATGACACTGGTGTGGAGGTCCTGACCCCCCTACAGGTGAGATTCTCAGTAGCTAGTGTGCTGGGAGGAGTGTGAGCAAGTCTTCTGGAGCTGAAAGTTTGGGCCTTATTATAACTTGGATCCCAGGCACTGAAGAGACCTAACAAACACATGTGCCAAGTTATCAGTGAATGAGAGCATCTCTGAGTAGCTCTGAGCCTACAGGGTCCAGACAGGTAAACAGGAGGCTTATGCCAGGGTTGGGGGAATAAGAAGCGGGCAGCAGGGTCAGGGCATTCTAGGTAGAGGACAGGGCTCCTCTCCTGGGTCACAGTGAGAGGGTACAGCTGCCCACGGGAGGTGGAATGGGAGATGTGTCTACTGACTGAGTCAGGGGTGCCCATTCGGGCTCAGAGACCCCGGCATGGGCAGGAGCCTTGCTAAGCAAGCAAGGCTGACCCGGGGGTCTCTTTTGGCTTCCAGACCACCAATCTCTCACCCCCGGACAGCGGCCCCGCCCTTCTGGTGCCACCCAGCAGCAGTGAGAAGGTGTGTCCTGTCCAGTTGGTAGGCCACGGCTGGACCTCTGGCTCTCCCCAGACGCAGGAGGCGCCCTGCCCAGAGGCCACATGGTCCTGGGACCAGCTGCCCAGCAGAGCTCCTGGTAAGGGATTTCAGTGGCCTGAGAGCTTGACCCTTTCTCCTGAATCTGAGGTGATAAGCTTTGGTTTCCTGTGGACACTTGCCCTCATTCCCTAATGGGCCAGGTGGACCTTCCTGCCCTACTTGGCCCCTGTCCCTGGCCCCTGCCCGCACCCTCCATTGGCTTTCTCTGGCCTGCCCGCAGGCCCGTCGCCCCCGCTCTCGCCGGCGCCCCCTGCAGGCTCGGCGGCCGCCACGCTCCAGCCTGGCCCGCAGCTCTATGACGTGATGGACGCCGTGCCCGCGAGGCGTTGGAAGGAGTTCGTGCGCACGCTCGGGCTGCGCGAGGCGGAGATCGAGGCGGTGGAGGTGGAGGTCGGCCGCTTCCGCGACCAGCAGTACGAGATGCTCAAGCGCTGGCGCCAGCAGCAGCATGCGGGCTTGGGCGCCGTCTATGCGGCCCTGGAGCGCATGGGGCTGGACGGCTGCGCCGAGGACCTGCGGAGCCGCCTACAGCGCGGCTCGTGATGCCGGGGCCCACCCGCCACTTCGGGGCTCTTGGTGGCCCTTGCAGAAGCCCTAAGTACGGTTACTTATGCGTGTAGACATTTAATGTCACTTATTAAGCCCCTGGCATGGCTCTGCGTAGCAGCGCCAGCCAGCCTCACCCTTGAGCGCCCCCAGGGTCCAGTTAAGGCAAGGCAGCGCCAGTGAGGATCAGGCGGGCATCGAGGCTTCTCAGCTGTTTCTCGGCCTGTGTTTGGTTGAGGCCTCGGTATTAAATCTATGAAGAAAAGCTACAGCTTGGTGTTTCTGCGGGGCTGGGGGTGTTAAGCGGCCCAGACTTGGTTTCCGAAGGGCCATAAGTCTTATTGCCACCCACGGCGAAGGCCAGTGTGACCCTCATCCCAAGCCTGCCCCTCCCGCTCAGCCGTGGCCCAGTTACCCCGAGGAGAGGAAGTCGCGGTGTCAGCGAGTGAGAGTGAGCATGGGCCCCGGCGGCTGAGAGAGCTTTAATGGGGGTGCGAGATGGCGGGGATCCGGGAGGCAGCAGTTGGGAGACACAGCTTTAGGGTCCCTTGTCCTCCGCTCACTCCACCAGGGCAGTGAAAGGGTCCGGGGAGGTGCGGGGCCTGGCTGGGTACGGTGCGCAGACTTGAGGGTGGTGGGGCGCCCGGAGCGGCAACTCCGTTCCTACGACGGGCAGTTTGCAGTTTTTATCGTTTCTGGTAAACATGACTGAGAGGAAACCCTCGGCGGGGATGGGAAATGCGGCCGGGGCTGGGCCGCGCGCCGATCTGGGTCAGGGAGGGAGGAAAACCCCTTCCCCGAGCGTGGGCCCTGCCTCCGCCCAGGATGCGCCAGCGACGTGGGTTCCGGGGTGCGGGGGAGGGGGCGGCAGCCGGGCGCGCTCCCCGCAGGAAAACAAAGTCATCACCCTCGGAGCTCGGGAAGAGCTCTGCACACTTTGACATTCAACGAACATGCAAATATATGTAAGCAGGCATGCAAATAAGCAGCATCTTTTTTTTCGTCAACAGCTTGGGCACTTTTTCTGAGCGGCGGCGGCGGAGGCGGCTGGCGCGCTCCAGTGCCGCCCGGGATTGAGGATGCGGAGGCGGGGTCGGGGTCAAGGAAGGGTTTCAGCGCAGGAGGGGAGGGCGGCGCGGCTCCCAGCCCTTCCGCCCAGGCCGGGGCGGGTCTGGGGGCACCCCCGAGCTCGCGAGGCTGCGTCTAGTACTTAGCGATGTCCCCCTTCTTCAAAATGATCTGTCGCTGCCAGGGCGCCAGCTTGCTCTCGTCGTAGCCCAGCGTCCGCAGCTTCTCCGACTGCTCTTTCTCCCGCTGTATCTCCTCCTGCTTCTGTCTCTCCTCCTCTTTCCTAGGCATGGGGTGGGGGCAGAACCCCGGGCAAGGGTGAGAGGGTGGGCGAGGCCCCACGCGGGGTCAGCGGTGGCAAGGAGTGGGTTACTAAGGGCAGGGGCTGGGTTGCTGAGGACAGAGGCACTCGTTTCATGGGTTGTAGGGGCAGAAGGGGATTGGGGACAGAGGTTGGGTTAGGAGGGATGTGGGTAGGATTGCTGGGGACAGATGGGCTTGACTAGCGGCAGACTGGGGTCACGGGGGTGGGGGTGGGGTGGAACACATAGGAGTCGGGTGAGTGAGAGACTGTGGCTGGGTTATTGCTGACCGGGTGTTACTGGAAACAAGTGCTGAGACACAGTGTGACAGAGGATGAGGAGGGGGTGGTGTGGGGAAAGGGCATGAAGTTATTGGGGCTAGAACCTGAGTTCCTGGGACTGGGGGTAGGGCTGCTGGGCAGCAGAAGGACCACATTTTTGGGAGATAGGCGCTGGGTAACTGGGGACAGGTTATTAGAATATGGCTAGATCTGCGCTGGTGATGAGGCTAAGCATCATCAGCATCTTTGTTCCCGTTAAGACTAAGCACGTGTGGCTGTTGAGCATTTGAAATGTTGGGACTGAGATGCCCTGTAGGCTCAAAATGTTCATTGCATCTCGCAGACTTAGTTTTAAAAAAGAGTGTAAGACATCTCAATTTTTATAATTACTATCACTGGGTTACATAAAATATACTATTAAGTTCACTCATATCTTTTTATTTTTTTTCACTGTGGCTGCTAGAAAATTTGTGACTCAAATGATATCTCTATCAGCACTTGGCTAGATTACTAGGGGTAAAAACTAAAGAATTGAGGGACATACATTTTGTTTAAAAAATAATTGAGGGTCAGATGCTCTAGCTTATTGATACCGAGGCTGGATTAACTGCAGGGCAGAGAGGCTAGGTTAATGGGAGAGAGCTGGGTAATTGGGGGTACAGGTTATTACAGCATAAGAGCTAGACTTTTGGGGGCAGTGGATAAGCTACTAATGTCTGGTGGCATTATTGGGAGCAAAGATGCTGTGCAAACAGGGCTGAGTGACAAGGGGAAATGCTCACGATGGGCCTAGATGAAGAGGCGAAAGGACTGGGACTGGGTGGGGGGAAGGGACACAAGTTGGGCCCAGCCCCACACTCACCGCTTCTGCTCCCTGGAAGAAAAAAGAGAGAGCGTTGGTTGGTGCCACCACCTCAGGGACACAATCAAGACACCTTGCTGAGCCCCGCGTCTTCCAGAGCTCACCTCTCATCTTCTAGCTTCTTCCGCAGGATGTCCCGCCTCCAGGCAGGCATGCTGGCCAGCCAGGCCTCCTCCTGCTCCTCCTGCAACACAGCACAGCATGGGCTGGGAGATGGGGCCAGCACCCCCACCCAGGGGACCTCTTTGAGTCAGGGACAACAGGTTGCAGGAAGAGACCCTTCTGTAGGGCAAATGGATGAAGACTCAGGCCCCTGTGTCCTAGAGGGGGCACCAGAGAGTCAAGGGCTGAGTGCAGAAGAAGAGCAGCAGAGGAGATTCCCCCACAGGGTTGGGTGGATAGATGGCTCCAGGCCCATGACCCAGCATCTCTGGGCAGACTCATACTTGGGCCTCCATAGTTCCTGCCAGCTCAGAGAGGCTCAGACTGGTCCCTGGTGCCACTGAGAAGGAACTTCTGGCCCATGCCTATCCTATTCTGAAAGGGGGGAGACACCAGCTCAACAATTGTGCGGCTGCAATGACACCATGCGGGGAGGATCCAACACAGGCGGCTTACAGCAAAGAGTTTTATTACTTGCATGTTACAGAGGAGAAAGAGTCTGGACACGTCAAATGAACACTGCACATGTGGCTCCCCTGACCTCAGCCAAAGAGGTCGCTCTGAACTCCAATGAAAAATGAAAGCCACAGGGCCCCAAGGGGGACCCACAGTCCCCCACTCACAGGGGCTGCTGTTTCCACCTGGCTCCACACGGAGCCAGGCATTGCTGCAGAGTCAGAGGGGGACACCTGGTTGACCCTGTGCTCTGCCCTGCCGATTCCTGCCAACACCCCACAGTCGGCCACTGAAGGCTGAGACAGCCTGGTCCTGGACACTCTGGCTTTTCCAAGGCCACTCATCCTGTCCTGGTTTCTTCCTGACGCTTCTGACCTCTAGAGGGGATCAGACAGGCATCCAGGCCCAGGTTAAGACACTTGAGGGTAAATTCTGGATCCTGTGTCTCAGATATCAAAGAGCTCTGCCTCCTTCTCCTTCCAGAAGGAGAAGCTCCGGTCGATGTACCGGCAGATGTCCTCATTGCTGAACTCGCCCATCTCAGACACCAGCTCCAGAGGGTCTTCGGAACTAGGAGGGACCGTCGTCGGGGGAGGCGCGGGCGGGGGTGAAGGCGGGGGCAGCCGCGCAGGGGCTGGCGCCTCGGGCTGCCCCTCTGGCCAATTCCCTGCCCGAGCTGTACTGGCCTCCTTCATCGGTTCCCTCTCATCCTTATCTATCCCTTCCTTTTGCTCCTTCTCCGCCTCTTCTCCTCGGGCCAGTTCAGCCTCAGGGCTGTCTTCGAAGAACTGGCGTCTGAGGTCCTCAAAGCCGTCGCTCCAGCTGCGCCGGCCGGCCTCCACCTCCTCGATCACCACGCGGTGGAAGAGACGGATGAGCTCCCATGGGTGGCTGCCCAGCCGGTCGAACATCTCGTAGCACAGCAGGTGGCGGAACTTGCGCTCCTCGCGGCTCAGGCCCATTTCAAGCAGCTGGAAGTAGCCGAGCATGAAGAGATCCAGCGTGAGGCTGTCGTAGCGCCGGGGCGCGCCGCCGTCGAGGGGCGGCAGGAAGTGCTCGGGCCAGTACAAGCCGTGCGCCAGGGCCCGGCCGCGGGGCTGGCGCGCCGGCACCTGCCGCATCAGGCTCCGCCAGTGGCCCAGCAGCTTGCCCACCACCTGCCGCTGCCTCAGCAGGCGCAGCAGCCGCCCGTCCGGGCCATCGCCCGCCGGCGGCCGGGAGGCAGCAGCGGCCTCGGGGCCGGGGTCGACGCCGGCGCCCGCAGCCACCACGCGGGGCAGGAGTCTGCGCAGGCGCACCTGGGCGTGGTGCCCGGGGCCGCGGAAGGTCCACTTGCGCCAGTGCTCCAGGAAGAGGTAAACGATGCGCTCCTTGCGCATGTCAATGTAGTCCTGGACGCCGCGCAGCTCGGTGGTGGACGGCGGCCTGCGCGCCAGCTGCTCGGGCCCTGGCAGCGCCGCCTGGTGGCCCGGAGCCTCGGGCGCATCCAGGATGCCCACGGGCTCGCCCGCGGCCAGTAGGCCGTTGGCGGTGGCGGCGACGGCGGTGCTCGGCTCGCTGGGGCTGGCCGCCACGTAGTCCTCCTCGAGGATGGGCTCGCGGTCCGGCGCGCTGACAGGCAGCGAGAGCTTCCGGCGCGGGCCACGCGGAGGCTCCGAGCCCTGGGCGCGTCGCTCGTACGTGGCGCGGAGGTGCCGCACAGAGACGCCGCACTCGAGGATCTCGCGCGCCACGGCCTCGCGGCACCAGCTGAGCGAATGCGAGCGGCCCAGGCAGAGCGGGCCCGGCCGCCAGGGGGCGTCAGTCAGCGGCGGCAGCGGCTGACCCGTGTCGGCAGCCAGGAGCTCGGCCGGGTGCGCCGGCCGTCCGCCCAGCGCGGCCAGCAGCGAGGCCATGCTCTTGAGCAGCACGGAGATCTTGCTGCACCAGGCGGGCAGGCTGGCGGCGCGGCCGTGCATGCGGCGCGGGTCGACGGTGAAGCGCGGCGCCGACAGGGCGGCCGAGATGGGCAGCAGTTGCTCCAGCTCCAGCTCCAGCTGCTCCAGGCGCGCCTCCAGCTTCTGCGCCTTGTGCAGCACCTGCAGGTTCTCAATTTGCTGTTCGATGCGAAGGATGTCGGCCTCGGTCATGAGTTCCCCGAAGGGCCCGAGGATGGCGTTGTGCTCGCGGGAGTACCTCCAGCCCTCGCGGGGGTAGCAGCACGAGCTGGCGGCCGTCAGCTAAGGCGGGGAAGACAAGAGAGGGGAGGGGGGCGCGTCTCCCTCTGGCCTGGCTCCCGCGACGGTCGCCGGGAGGCGCCATTTGCATGTCCTGGGTGGTGTAATGGCTCCGCGGGGCTGCGTTTGCAGGGACGGGCCGCGCCTGGCCGGCGGTACTTTGGGACGAGGCTTCGGCCCAGGCTGCCGCTCCAGGCGCTGGGCAGTGTCCGCTTTGGTCGCTGGCAGAGACACACAGCTGGGCGTTGGGCACTGTTGCAGAGGCAGGGCCGGCGGATGGGGTCTCCACACCTGGTTTGGTCGCTCATTACACCACCGAAGGAACATGCAAAAGGCGTTGAAGCTGCGACAGACAGCAGTCCTCTCCCTCCCCATCCAAGGTCTGCGATTTGAGGCCAGATCCCAGCGAGGCCGCTCCTCACTCCAGACAGATGACCCCCTAATCAAAGCCCCCTGCAGACAAGCCATCCCTGTCTAGGCCATCGGTTTTGCTGCTGAATGAGAGGCTGCTAAAGAGCCCGTGGCTTCCACTCCTATTCCCACCCACTCTGACTCCTAGAATAACACAATTGATAGAGCTAGGCTCGCCAGGCACTTTTTTAGAGTCTCATCTGTTCCTCATTCTACGCTTTTCCAGCAGGGTGGGGGGAAGGGCTGCCATCACCTCATAGGCGTCCCAATCCATCCTGGCTAGTACTGTCCCACTTAGGACCATGTTTCCCACATACAAATATGACAATGCCGCAACTCTGAAAGAAGCATCTATACATAAAGTTATGTTTTGGCTGGTTTCTATTGTTAAGTTTATTTCCCTGAATTCTATATACCTGCTTCCCTTGCCAGAAGGTGAGTGCTTTAAAGGTAGATACTGTGACATGTACATGTGTACTCCACTACTTAGCCTTCACTTGGCACTCAATAGATACTTATTGAATAGAAGTTTAAAAAAAAAATGATGAAGCCACTTGGCTACTCAATCCCACTCCCAGGCTCCCCACTGCTCTAGGAGAAAGTCCATTTTCTTCAAAGCCAGGCCTCGGTGACCTGACCAGGACTGACATCTCCAGCTCCGCCCCTTGGGTAGTACTGAGCTGGAGCCACCACACCGGCTCTGATTCCCAGACCTCCCTTGTCTTTCCTGCTTGCTCTTTGCCCCACTCTTTTCTCTGTCCCCTTCTTCCCAATCTTCCACGTCTACCTTAGACATCACTTTCTCCTCTCCTCGGAGAAGGCAATGGCACCCCACTCCAGTACTCTTGCCTGGAAAATCCCATGGACGGAGGAGCCTGGTAGGCTGCAGTCCATGGGGTCACGAAGAGTCAGACATGACTGAGCGACTTCACTTTCACTTTTCACTTTTATGCATTGGAGAAGGAAATGGCAACCCACTCCAGTGTTCTTGCCTGGAGAATCCCAGGGATGGGGTCACACAGAGTCGGACACGACTGAAGTGACTTAGCAGCAGTAGCAGCAGCAAGTCCACCCCAAACCCAAGTATTACTAGGATGGTGGATCTCAGGCTGCCCCAGTCCTTCGCCCTCCCCAGTAGAGCACCTCCTCATTTGACCTGTTTTGTCTCCCTGGGGGCATTTATCATGCTACTAAGGTGCTGTGTTTGCTTATTGGTTGACACCCCCCGCCCCCCACCACAGCCACCTTAAGAGCAGGCCCTGACATATTCACTGTGAGTCCCCAGTGGATACAACAGTGTGCGATAAACAAGACGACGCCCAGGGGATGTTTGTTCAGCAGATGAAGGGCAAACTATCCTGCCAGCCAGTGATGGTGACAGATGAGAAGCCTGAGGCTGGATGAGGCAGTTCAGGAAAGGGGCCCAGGGCAGTCTGACTCTGACCAAAAGCCTCCTGCCGTCCTTAGGATGAGTCAGCCTCACCTGAGAGCTTGTTGGAAGAAGAAGCCCAGCCCCACCCAGAGGACCTGAACCACAATAGTCCTGTTAACAAGATCACAAGCGATTTGAGGGCACTTTAGAGCTTGATAAACATTGCCTTCTCATCAAGGGACAGGCAGTTGGGAGGAGGTGGGGGCAGTGCTGGCTGTGGAGACTGGGAACAGTCCCAGGAGAGGGGTGGTGGTCCAACCTTGCTTTTCCCCAAAGGTCATGGGAGCGGTCTGAGGCTGAAAGGGCCCGAGCAGGTTGGGGGATGGTGTGGGGGAGAGGCGAGGGGCCCAGGTGCAGACCCCAGGGCGCTCTGGAAAGCCCTTCCCCACCCACCTTCCGCCTCTGCTCCTCCTCCTCCTGCATCTTCAGCTGCAGCTTGCGCACCATCACCTGGCGCTTCCACTCGGGGATGGGCCGGCCCTGCTCGTCGTACGTGGGGATGAGTGCCTCCACGTCCAGCTGCACGCCCGGCGCAGGGGTGGCGGGCGGTGCCGGCGCCACGCTTCCATTGAGCAATGGCTGGGACCCCACGGCCGGCGGGGTGGGGCTCCGGGCCGGTGCCGGCGACACCGGTGGCAGCGGCGATTCCAGCTACGGATAGAAGCGGCGGGGCTGAGTGCTGGGCAAACGGGAGAGAGGGGAACCGGGGCGGGGCCGCCTGTCACGTCTCCTACCTGGGAGGCCGGCTGCCCACTGCCGGAGAACACCGTGGTCAGTCCCTTGCTCTGCGGCGTGGGCTTCAGACTCTTGCCCGCCTTGATCTCAGCCAGCAGCTCCGAATTGTCGCCCGTCGGGGACATCATGTTGAAAGACTTGGTGCCTGCGCGGAGGCAGGAGAGGAGACGCTGGCCCGGTGTGGGGCCCGCAGCCCCACCGCCCCCCAACCTGCCATCTGCTGCCGCCTCCCCAAGTCAGGGCGGGCCCGGCCTTCCCTTGGGCTCAGAGGGCAGCTCTCCAGGTCCTGCCCCTCCACCCCGGCAGCTCTCGGGGACCCCAGAGGCGGGTCCTCCTCGGCTGGCAGCCAGTGCGGCCCCACCATCCTCCCGGCCCTACTCACGGGGTGTGGGGCCCCCACCCGGAGGCCCCTGGGAGTTCATGATGGCTCCTGGGCCTGCCCTGGCAACTCTAGTGAATGTCTCCGCCCAGCATACTGACTGCCCAGCTCCAAAACACTACCTGGGGCCAGCCACCTGACCTTTGTCCCAGGTTCCCTGGCGCAGCCCGACCAGGGTGGAGTCTCCCCTCTGACCCTCTCTGCATCAGCAAAGCCCAGTGACCCTTGGACTGAGTCACCTGGGGCTTCCCTGGCTCTAGACACTGGACCCTGGATCCCACAACCTGGTCGGCCCCCTCCCACCCCCCCCCACGCCCACAGACAGACATCCGCGCAGACACACTGGTTGCAAGCCCGGAGCACAGTTATGGCAAAGCGCAGCTCACTTCTGGCGGCCCCAGGAGAGCCGAGCCCTAACTAAGGATATGGGGTGGGGGCACTTAGGAAGAAGGGCCAAGCGGATGACATGCAAATGCGTGGAGCGGAGTTTGCATTTTCCGACGAGGCCGGCGGTGGCGACCGGGGTTTGAAGAGGGTTGTCTTTCGAGCCGGAGGAGGGGTCAGGAGTCGGTGAGGGGGAAAAAAGGGGGACCAACAGCTTCGAGGTCCCCGGGGTTGGGGATCCCCGAGCCCAGTAGTGGGAGGGGGAAAAAAGACAAAAAGTGCTGATGGGCGCCGGCTGCCGGCTCATTTCTTTAGGCTACACCGTCAGCCGCGCACGGAATGCGCACGCGCAGGTGGGAGTAGTGGCGGTCCAGCCAGTGGCGTCCGGCACCCCTCACCTGCCGGCCCCTCCTCCTGTACTTTCCTCGAGCCCCCAGCCCCTCCAGCCTGACTTATCCTGAGCCTGCCCTGAGCCCCGCCCCTGCGCCTCAGCCGGGAGCCGCGCACGCAGCTACTCACTCTTCCTGTGTCTCAGGACTCTCACTTCTAGGGACGGAGAGGAGAGAAGCGACAGCGAAGTTAGGGGAGGGAGAGGGCTGGGGTGAGGCCAGGACAGCAGGGAAAGCGGGAGGAGGGGAGGGAGGGAGATGCCCAGAGAGGCCGGGGAGAGGAGCAACTTTGTGGTCCATCTGCCCCTGGCTCAGGTTGCGCTGGGGCTCCACAAGGGTGGTCTGCTCAGTTCTCAGCTTTGTTGGTGCTCTGAGAGCTGGGCTGGGCTGCCATGGGCCCTGGCCCCCCTTGCCAGGGCCTCAATCTTGGCATTGGTTGGGATAGGGCACCCAGCCCAGGCTCTGCTGCAAAGGGGTGTCTGGAGAAGCCCAAGAGTCCATTTTTCTTCTGTTCCTAGCTTCAGCCTTGCTCCACACTGCCAAGGGAAGACACTGACCCCAAAGCTGGAGGCGCAACTGATGGTGAACATGCTACCATGGTTCCAGTCTGCAGGGGCTGTGGCTCCATAGGTACCCAAGGAGCCCAGGCTGGCCCTACCTGGAATCCTACTGCAGCCTCTCATGCCCTAGTCAGGGAGATGAAACTTTGGATGGTGGTTTTAACCACGATCCTGGCACCGAGTGGCTGGGTGAGGAAGGCATCTCCGCCACCCACTGAGGCTGGAATGGAAGCATCAGCACCCAGATACCACCTCCTGGGCCTGCTGGGGGCCCTGACATGCAGGTGGCCCCACATTTCAGAAAAGCAGCCCAGGAATCCTGGTCATTGGTCTAGCTCTTTAAAAAGGATGATGCTAGGGGGTGTCACCAGGAGGGGGAGGGCAGGGTATGATGGACAGCTGGCCTTATCTCCTATAGCTAGGCCTGGGAATGTATAATGGCTAGCTCGGGAGAACAAGAGAAAGTGGCCAGGAGTGGAAGAGTCACTCCTGAGAAATATGGGGCAGGAAGAAGTCTGCCCAGCAACACTGCATCCTTCAAGCTAATTCTACTTCTCTGAGCTTCCCTCTAGCACCAGCCTGCCACCAGAGCTGGGAGGCCTTCCCTACTGGGCCAGAGGCAGCGGGCAGGACCAAAGAGGGCAGGGGACTTGCCCCAGATCACACAGCACAGTCCTGCTCTGACAAGAGCTGAAGCAACTCCGAGCCTTCCCTTAGGGTCAAGTCCTCATTGGGGTAGGGGCTGCAGAAAGATCAAGTAGGTAAAGAGGAGGCACCAGGACAGTGGCAGCTGGGGGAGGGGGTGGTCTAGGCTTCCCTCCCCGTTCAGGGCCAGCGCCGCCCTCCACCCCTCAACCAGCCCCTACTCACTGCCAGTGGAGGAAGAGGAGCGACGCTGCCCGCAGCCGGGGCCCGAGCCCTCGAAGGGCAGAGGCGGAGCAGGTGGCGGTGAGCTCAGGGCCTCCGGCAGGGGCGGAGGCGGGGGCGGCGGGGGCAGCTCCCTGGATGCCTTGAGGTCTGCGCCACAGCCGTTGTGCACGTGGTTTCCAGGGAGCAGCGCCGCCTGTGGGGGAGCCGAGGGGCCAGCGAGTGAGACGCGGGCGGCACGGCCGGGTCCCGGGCGGCTGGCGGGCGCGGGCTGGCGGGCACGCACCTCCTCGCTGTGCGCCATGCCCGGGCGTGCGACCAGCGGCTCCCCGGGGTGGCGGCCCAACTGGCGGTAGTAGTCCCCCGTGCTGGGCTGCTTGCTGAAGGCGCGGGGCTTGCGGCCGGAGTCCTGCCTCCGCAGCCCGTTGCGGCCGTCGCGGGAGCTGGGCTGCGGGAAGACAGCGGGTGGAGTGAGCCCTGGGCACTCGTCCCTTATGCCTCCCGGTGCTTCACCTTCCGAGGGCTCACGGTCCCCGACCCTTCTGTTCTCAGAGCGAGGATTGGGGCGAAGGTACCCGGGGCCTCGGTGAAAGGGCAGGTCTGGTTGGCCGCACAGGGAGGGGTTCTGGGCGCCGGCCAAGGGGCGCAGGAGCCCCTACGGAGGCTAGAAGGGGCGGGCCCGGGGACGGGGTGACCCAGCCCGAACGCCAGGGGTGGCCCGAAGCAGGGGTAGCACCCGGCCTCGGCAGCGCCAGGGCCGGAGCCGCACAGCGGCCCCCAGATGGTCCCCCGCGCGCCTTTCTTGCAGGGGTCGCGCGCCTTTCTTGCGGGGGTCCCACGCCGAGGAAGCCCACTCGAGAGCCCGCGTCCTGCTGCGCTCCTGTTTGCCCAGGGCCCTCGGCGGGCTGGCCCGGGGGCCGCGTCTGCTCCTACCTGCGACTGTGCCGGTGGCCCCCCGCTGTGCACCTGGCGGTGGGGGCCGCATCGACCCGACACCTGCGCTACCCGATCCCTCCTCTCAGGTTACAGCCCAGCCCGCCCGCCCGACCGCACCCTCACCCTCGAGCGCCGTAGAGCTCTGTCGGCCTGACATCACCCAGAGCCTGCCAATCCCCGGCCAAACCCCCAAACAGTCGGGAATGCCACGGGGGAGGGGGGGCGCCAACTGCTGGGCCAAACCTGGCAGCCGTGCCTATCCTGCGGGCCAGATGTGGTCTCGTCCCCGCGGCACCTCTCTCCCTTCGCTTCGCGCTGAGCACCCCAGCCTCCATCCTCCAGAGGCAATTCGGACCTCACCGTGGGCACCCCCATGTTTGGTCCCCCGGGGTTCCGGGTCACGCCCCCGCTCTTCCCCTCCCGCATCTGGAAACCATCGCGGTCTGCGTAAGGGACACCGACACTCCCGCCCGAGACTCGGGTTTCGGGGGCGGCAGTAAGGGCTCGGGTGACAGAGCGGGCGGCCCGCCCTGTCGCAGCCGACCCCCACAAAGCCCAGCCCGGGAAGAAAGAGGCGGAGGGGCCAAAGGCCAAGTCACCTAGCAGGGGCTGTCCCCTGCCCCACCCTCAGTCCGCACGTCCCGGCGGTGGCCCCGGTGGCCCCGGACCCTCCGAGCCCCACCCGGCAGGGCTCACGTTGCAAGGAAACGCGACACCGCAGGATTCGTTTTCTGGGCCGGCCTGCCCCCTAAGCGCCCCCTGCAGCTCCGAGGCTCGGACGCCGCGACCCCGCTCCTGCCCGCTGTCAGGGAAAAAGCCGCGGCTGGGGGCGTGGAGCATACAAAGAGACCTTTGTGGAGCGGCCCAGCGCCTGCCTCCGGGCACGCACACACCCGGGAGGGGCGCAGGACCGAGCAGTCCTGGTGCTCGCTCAGGGGAGCGGAGGGGAGGGAGCGGGGCCGGGCCACCCGTCCTGCGGCTGGGGGCTGAGAGCTGAGCCCACCTGCTTGGCCGGGAAAGTCTACTGGCCCAAGGCACCCTGCAGGCCTCTCCTGGGCCCCCTCCACCTTCCAGAGATGAAAGGGGAAGCCACCGAAGGCCTGGTCTGAGGTGGCAAGAAGCGGGTTGGCGGGTGGCCTTGCAGGGACTGTATCCTTCCCTTCCCCCACCTGGTGGTCGTGTGACCTGGGTCACCTGTGGGAATTGGTTACTGAGCTTGGCTCTGGAGAGCTTGCCTTGGGCTTGAGAGAGAACTACAAGGTTAAGGCTCCTACAGGGCCTTAGAGGGGCTCTATTCTTTACCCCAGACTCAGTCACCTGGGGTCTCAGGGGTCCTCCCCTCTCAGACCAGCCTCGTTTTCTCCTCTTGGCCAGAACTCCTGGGCTCCTTCCGGGCCTCCGCGCCGCCCAGGAATCTGAGCTGTCCACGCCAGCCCTCTGTCCCTTCCCCTGCTCCAAAGCCTTGGCCAGAATCCTACAGGCCCTGCATCATGGGTCCCTCACACTCAGAGCACCCCCCCTGAACTCAGCCCCTCCTCACTAGCTTGCTTCTCCCCAGGGAGAGACCCCATCTTAGGACCGGCTTGTCTATTCACCTGGGAGCTGAAGCCTCAAACTGGGGAGCCAGCCTCCATATTACCCCCTGCCACCAGCCCCCACTACTGAGGGTGCTGAGCCCTGCTGGTGCTCCCTCCTGGTGCTCCCTTCCACCCTCCTCCAACCCTCACCTTCACTACTGCCTGCATCTCCCACCTGGAAGACACTCCCTTGGGAGCCATTCTCCCCCTGTGCCCAGAGCTGGGTCTGTGGGGAGGCAGTTTACACTTATTCTCTGCCATATCCATGAGCACCCTGCTCCTCTGGGCAAGATGGGGTGAGGATCCAGCTCCTGAGAGGCATGGCTATCAGGGTATACGTTCCTTCATGCCTCTCCTGCTCCCCATGTCCCCAAAGAGTGGTAGCTATGTCTTCCTTGTCTCCCTGCCTCCAGCATCCAGCCCTGGGTCGCCATGGAACTGAGCAGCAGTTTTGACTCCTGAACAGGCCACTGGACCAGGGACCCCCAACCCTCACCCTGTACCCATGAGCCGGACTAGCCGTTGGCCTCCACCGTCCCCCATCAGCCCCCTCCCAGATCTGGAGGGAGGCAGGCTATGTTGGGGGGGGGGTGTTTCACTACCTCCTTGAAGGCCTCAGTCTCCACGTGTCGGAGTTTGTTCTTCGTCTGCAGGTAGATGTCAGCAGCTTTTAGCCCTTCAGGGGGCTTGGGAGCTGGGAAGCCTGGTGGGGGTGGGGGCAGCTGGGTGCCTGGGGGTGGGGGTGGTGGAGGGAAGCCAGGTGGTGGCGGTGGTGCTTTGGTTTTCTCCACCTTGCCATGGGGCAGGTCCGGCTCTGGGCTCAGCATGTCCATGTAGCTCTGTATGTCTGCTGCTCTTGGGCAGGGAACCCCTGGGAGGGAGGGAAAGATGGGTTGGGGAGTTTTCAGAAAGGCTGACCCCCAGCTGGAGACCCCTCTTTTGCCTGGAAATGATCTGCCACTGGGGGAGGCTGGCTCCAGTGGAGCTTGGCATGCATGGCTCCACTGTGGGTCCACCATCACCCTGGCCCTGCCCACCCTGGCCCTGCACTGTGCTCAGGTGGGAGGGGAGCTGGCAGAGGGTCTGGCCTCTAGGATGGGCTTACAGGGCAGAGCCACCTGGAGGGCAGAGGGGTGGCTCCTCAGGACAGATCTGGCAAGGCAGGTGGCAGGAGTATGGACGGCCACACCCCAGCTTTGCAGGGTGCCTGTCAGCTCTGCAGGCTACCACCTGGTGGCCTGAATCCGGCATCACACCTAAGCTAGGGCGTGGTCCGCATGTGTGGACACACGTGCCTGGCATCTGCCCAAGTGTGCATTCATGTGTGTTCACGAATGTGCATACATGCTTCTTTGTACTTATGAGTGTGTTTGCATTAGACCTGGGGTCTATGAGTATGTGCAGGTAGTATAGGTGTGGGCACATGTCTGTATTCATATTTATAGATTGTGTGTACACCTGTATAAGTGTGCACTCGAGTGTGGGTAGGCATGTGTGATGTCTGGGGAACTTGTGTGATGAATTGTAAGTGGGGTGCATGTAGCTTCTGTGGGTGGGAGGGTACCTGTGGATGTACAGGCACGTTTGCGATGGACACACAAGCATGAGTGCCACCTGTCCTCACCAGAAGCAGCGTCCCCTCCTGGTGACCTGGGCAGTCTCTGGTGTCAGCCAAGGGCACAGTAGGTCCAGGGGTGGCCCTGAGGGCCCACTGGGCTGGCTCTCATCTGCTCCCCCTCCCACCTCCTCCAGGCCCACTCACCACGCACAGAACGCTGGCCCTTGACACTTGAGTGGCTGGAGGAGCAGGAGTCGTAGTTGGAGAGGGTGCTGGTGGGCGAGCTGAGGTCAAAGTTCGGCGGCTGGACCGACATGGTGGTGTTGGGCGAGGACATGCCCGAGTCAGGCTGCTTGGTCTCCAGGTCAGCGGATGGATCCCGGGACAGCACGCGGTGCTCCACACTCTGAGTGGGAGAGGAGGCTATAAGGGCAATCCTGCCCCAAAGACCAGCACATTCTGAGCCGGGGTCCTGCTGTGTGACCTCGGTCAAGCCACTTGCCTTTCTGGGCTCCCTTCCCCGTCATGAGAAGGTCTCTTCTCAGGTTCTTCCCAGGCTGAGATTCAAACCCAGCCCCCCAACAGCAGGACCGTGGGTTCCTGGGAAACTCCCAGCCCTGGCTGGTCTCAACTCAGGGGTTGGGGACCGCCAGAAGAGAGGGCGCTGGGCTGGACTCCAAGCGAGGGCACACATGGCACCAGCCTTCCCCTTTCTCACCAGCGGGCAGAGGGCCCAGGCTCCAGTGCAGCGAGGGGGCATAGGCACTGAGTGGGTAAGAACATCTGAGCAGCTGGAGATAGGGGAGGGGTGCACAGCACCCACAACTTGCAGAAAAGACGGATCCCCCAGGATGGGCCAGCAACCCCCATCTCTCCCTGCTGGCCTGGAGCAAACTCCATCACCAGCCCAGCCCCAGTCTCCTGATGGAGCCTTTGGGGAAAGGGTGGGGCTTGGGGTAGCCTAGCTGAGCTAGAGGAGGTCAGCCTGAGCTCAGCCATCCCCCACCACTGCCCCTGCCCCTGCCCACGGCCTGACCCTCCCGCCTGGGAGCAGGCTAGGGTGGGGGCTCTGCTTACGTTGCCCATGCTGGCCCTGCTGCCGGCAAGACTGCTGCTTCGCTTGCTGCCTCCAGCCCAGGCCTGTTCCTCCCTGCCCTGAGTCCCCTCCCTGCCTGAGAAGTGTCACAGGCCCCCTGGGAATGGCAGGCAGGCCTGGCACCAGGTAACAGCTCAGCAGCCACGCTCATTGGCCCCATAATTAGGGGCTCTGCAGGAGTGTTTGCCTTTTCTGGGCCAGTATCCTCCATGGCTTGGATCTGTCACAACGCAGCTGGGCCCGCCTAGTGAGGGCCCCCCATCCCACCTGGTTCAGCTGGGCCAGGCCCTGCTGCCTAAGCCATGAGCCATGGGGAACCATAGGAGCTGAGCTGGGGCAGCAGCCTAAAGCTGCCAAGCCTTCCTTGGCTGGCAGCAGTGGGCACCAGGGGTGCCCAGCCCTGACCTGGGGATAACAGAGGTTAGGGGCAAGGGCTTTACAGCCTGGGGGGGATGGTTTCAAATTTCATCTCCCCCACTTACTAGCTCCATGAATGACCTTTCTGTCCCTTGTCCTTTCTGTCTGCACCTAAAACTCTTCATCAGTAAGTGGGAGTAACAGTACTTCCTGCCTCATTATGTTGCAACAAATATTTTAAAAGTTAGTGAAGTGTCAGTGCATGGTAGCCAGTAAATATCATATGTGTCAACTGACAATATTAATATACAGTGCATATTAACTGCAATTACACCATAAAGCACTAGGCAGGATACCTATTGCAGTCAGAATTCAAGGAGTGGTTCTTGTTTGCTCATTACCTGCAGCCAAAGCTTCCATTAGGAGGCACTGTTCCCCCCACCCCCAAACAATTTCAGATATTCTCAGTGGAAAGGAGCCCAACCTAGTGCAGAAATGCCCTTCACAATGTCCACTTCTGCTTGTATACCCCAGTGACAGGTTGCTCACTACCCAAAGCATCACTACTTTCTCTGGGTGGCCCTTTCTTGGCGGGGAGTGAGTTCTTCCTCGGGACCAGCGCAGTCTCTGACCCCTGAGCCTTGCTGTGCTCTGAGGTCCCCAGAACCAGCGTGTCCCCATGTGCTCGAAGGCAGGGCGTGCAGTGCTCTGGGCAAGAGGCCATCGGCCCTCTCTCCCCCAGCTTCATTTCGCAGCTCCTCTCATGGCCAAGCTGCCCCCTCTGAAGATGCCTGTGAAACCAGCCCTCTTTCCTCCCCTCCTGCACCAGATGAGGCAGAGCCCTGGACTGGGAGCCACCCACACCTGAGCTCAAGTCCCAGTGGGTTACTTCATGGCTTTGTAACCATAATAAAATAATTTTAAAAGAGTAACACAGCTTTGCAATTATGAAGTAGCCATGCAGTGAGCAAATATGCAAAGTAGTGGTGAAGAGGGGGATCTCCAGGTTAGGCCACTGGGTCTCCCCAAAACTCAGTTTACCCACCTGTGAAATGGGGACAGTAGCACTCCCTACCTCAGAGGATGGTACGTATCTGTGTACGCACTCAGTTGTGTCCAACTCTTTGCAACCCCATGGACTGCAAAGAGTCCACTGCAACCCCCGGTGGACTGTAGCCCACCAGGCTCCTCTGCCCATGAGATTCTCCAGGCAAGAATATTGGAGTGGGTTGCCATGCCCTTCTCCAGAGGATCTTCTTGACCCAGGGTTCGAACCCTCGACTCTTACTTCTCCTGCATTGGCAGGCGGGTTCTTTACCACTAGCACCACCTGGGAAGCCTGAGAGTTAAATGAGCTAATTAATACCTGGGGGCAGGTGAATGCACTTTACTGTTCCCCTTGTGTGTAAGTGTCATTTATCCGAGCCTTGGGACTCTTCAGGATGAGGCTGATCCTCTTTCCCTCAATATTTCTGCCTCCATCCCCTCACTCCCCAGGAGTCAGTGGTCCTGGGCTGAGAGGTCATGTGGGGTAGTGGTCTAGGGCACTTATTCCTGTGACCTTGGCCAAGGGGCTTCACTTTCCTGAACCTCAGCTTCTTCCGTGGCAAAAGGGGTAACAACACGTACCCCTTGGTGGAGGTGGGGGCAGGGTGGGGGGGTGCAATGACACGGTGAGGTGGGGGAGCAGCGCCCTGGGCGTACCAGGTTCTCCACGGTGCGCAGGTAACGAGTGCAGTGGCTGTGGCCGTTGTAGTCCGCGAGGTCGGCGGCCGTGTACCCGTCGCGGTCGCGGACGTCCAGCTCCGCGCCGTTCACTACCAGGATCTGGCAGCACTGCAGGGGCGCGCAGTGAGGACCCCAGGCCCATAGCCGGGACCTCGGCGCGGGGGGCAGAGCTGTGCTGCAAGCGCGGCGCCAGCAGAGGGCGCCCGCCCCTCCCGTTCTCTCCTGGCCTCCGGGCCACGCCCCGGGCCCGCCCCCGCCCCGCCCTCACCTCCAGCTCCCCGTTCTCGGCGGCGTCATGCAGCGGGGTCCCGCCCCACAGATCGGCCGCGATCTCGCCGCCGTGCAACAGGAGCCAGCTGAGCACTTTGGCGTGGCCGCGGCTGGCCGCGAAATGCATGGCCGTGGCGCCGTCCTTGTCCTTCTCCGACAGGCTCACATCGGTGCAGCTCACCTGGGAGAGAGGGGGCGGGGACAGAGAGGGGCGGGGACTGGGCACCAGCCCCTCCTATCCCCGCCCCCGTCCCGTACAGGCCCCGCCTCCCCGGACCCCGCCCCGACGTGTCCCCGAGCTCACCAGCCACACGATGACCGAGATGTGGCCCATCTGCGCTGCGGCGTGCAGCGGGGTCATGCCATCGTGGGCGCTCAGGTGCGGGTCCGCGTCGCACTCCTGCACTAGGTACTGCGTCACCTCTAGGTGGCCCTCCTGGCACGCCAGGTACAGGGGCGTGGCACCGTTCTTGGTTTGGGCATTCACTCCCCTGCGGAATACGTAGCACCCACCGTGGGCTCTCAGCGCCCACCCCCCTCCAAAGCCTCCTTCGCCCCTTGACCGCTCCCGGGGAGCTCTGGAGGGTAACTGGAGAAGACCTAGTCGCTGGACCTGGCTGCCCAACTCCCTTTGGACACAGTCCTGTGCCAGCCTGCCTGAGTGGGGGCCTTCTGGCTTGCTCCCCACATACCCCTCGCAGCCTCCTTTCCACAGTGCATGTCTAGTGACTGATCTAGTCTCTGCCCTCAGTAAACAACTCGCCTTTTTACCAAGGTCTACAAGGATGCTGTGATCTGGCCTCCTCCTACCTTTTCAGCCACATGGATCCACTGTCACTGTGAGTCCTCACACCTGCTGTCTGACCTCTGTGTCTTTGATTACGCTCCCCCCGCCCCACTCTGACTGGGGATGCTCTTCCCATCTTTCTTGAAGGCTCAGAATAGGTTCTTCCCTGGTGGTCCAGTGACTAAGACTACATGCTCCCAAGGCAGGGGGCCCGGGGTTCCATCCTTGGCCAGGGAACTAGATCCCTTATGCTGCAACTAAGCCCTGGTGCATCCAAATAAATAAATAAAGACATATTTTTTAAAAAGACTCAGTACAGATCCCTCCTTCACGAGGCTTGTTCCACTACAAGAACAGGCTTTTCCAGCCTCCGTGCCCCATACTGCCCTGGGTTCACCCTACGGGCCACCTGTCATGCCCAGTGGATCAAAACTTGTTATGGCCTCTGCCGCCCCCAGAAGACTGAACTCCCAGACGGCAGAGTGGTAATGTCGCCAGATAAAACACACACAAAATCTGAACTTTGCATGTGCTTAGTCGCTCAGTCGTGTGCAATGTTTTGTGACGCTGTGAACTGTATCCTGCCAGGCTCCTCTGTCCTTGGAATTTTCCAGACCAGAATACTGGAGTGGGTTGCTATTTCCTTCTCCAGGGGATCTTCCTGACCCAGGGAATGAACCTGCGTCTCCTGCATCGGCAGGTGGATTCTTTACCACTGAGCCACCAGAGACAACAAATAACTTTCTAGTATAAGTATATGCCCAATGGGCATGCGGATGTACATATTCTAAACTGTTAATTGTTGTTTATCCAAAATTAAAATAGTCTTGTGGTTGTTGTCAGTCTGGCCACCCTACAGGTGAATGCCATCCACTGAGCATGTCCCAAGTGCCATGACACTAGCAGGCAGATTCTCAGTGAACACCCTACCTTAAGTCCTACTATCATTCCTATTTTGCAGAGGGGCTCAGGGGCTGTGACTTGCCCAAGGTCACACAGCTGGTAAGTGGTGCTTGGGCACACACCTGTCTGTGTGATGCAGGGCCAGGTGCAGAGCAAGAACCAAGGGAGTGGGGGAGGGGCCATTTCCTGTCTTCACTCCCCCAGGCTTCTCTCGGGCCTAACTTGCACCTGTCACAGCCCCTCATCCCTGCTCCCAATTCCCACAGAAGGGTCTTAACTGGAGAGCCACTCTCAGGAAGTGGAGTGCTGCTGGGGAATAGGGACGCTGGCCTGGCAGCTGGCGGGAGCCTCAGTTTTCCTGACTTCACGATGGGTGTGGACACCAGGGTGTAGTTACAGGATATGAGCACAAGGTGGAGCCACAATCTAGGCCCAGTCCCAGGAGCTCCCGGTGGATCCAGGATGGAGGGTTGGGCAAGAGCATAAGCTAAGTCCCTCTGGGCTGGGTCAGGACTCTGGGCCTCAGGAACTGCAATTTTTCATCAGACGTCATACCCTCCCACCCGTATGCCTCCCCCATCTACTTGCTTACGACGTCAATCACACACTCCACCCCCACCATCTACGCCCTCCCTCCCTCATCCAACTGCCAGCCATGTGCCCATTAATGAGGGCACCGGGCCACCCAGCCCTCCTCTACCTGGGGCCCCACTCCATCATGCACCCTTTTGCCGCCCACCCGTGACTTGGCCCCTCCCTCTCACATACCCCTCGGGCCCTCAGCTGACATCCCCCTGTCCCTAAGACCCCATCCCCGTCCACTTTCCTGCCCCCTGCCCCCTGCCCAGGCTGCCCACAGCCCCCACCGGGCACCAAGCCTCAGCTCTCTCCATCCTCCTGACACTCAGCCTGGGACCCTACCTGGCTGCCCTCCATTACCCAACGTGTGTCACGGTGGAGTGGGGTGATGAGTCCCCACCCACACGCCGTACCTGGAGAAGGTGCTGGCTCTCAGCCACCAGCCTCCACGCCCCGGTGCCAGCGTCCCCCGCTCCCCGCCCCCCCCGCCATTCACATGCTGGTGCTTCAGGAGGAGCCTGTTTAATATTTCATGACTGACACTCCATGGCCTGAATTATTCACCGCGTAACCAAGGCACGAATTGTGGTGCTGGAGAAGACTCAGAGTCCGCTGGACTGCAAGGAGATCAAATCAGTCAATCCTAAAGGAAGTCAACCCTGAATATTCATTAGAAGGACTGATGCTTAAGCTGAAGCTCCAATCCTTTGGCCACCTGATGTGAAGAGTTGACTTACTAGAAAAGACTCTGATGCTGGGAAAGATTGAAGGCAGGAGAAGGGGATGACAGAGGATGAGATGGTTGGATGGCATCCCTGACTTGATGGACATGAATTTGAGCAAACTCCAGAGATAGTGAAGGATAGCGGAGCCTGGTGACCCTACAGTCCACAGGGTTGCAAAGTCAGAAATGACTTAGTAGGGACTGAACAACAAAGACCAAGGCACAGCAAGTGCTGGGGTCCCGGGGATTGGGGACTGGAGGGGCCACTACCCAGGGCCCACTGGGCTCTCGAGGGAGGCCTGAGACAATGCACACAGCTCAGGGTGCTAGATCTGCCCGGAGCCTTGTTCTCCCAGTCCTTCCTGCTCAGCAGGTAACTCATGACCCACGGGTGTCCAGCCAGCCTGAGATCTCAGAAGGTCTCAGAAGCTGGCGTAGAGCAGGACCTGAGCAGGAGGCGGCAGTCCAGCCCATAGCCTCCCACCAGGCCACTGGTTGACACCCTATCTGGAGGCTCTGCTAGAAAGTAAATGCTCAGTAACCCATTCTAGATTCACAGCCCCCAGCCTGGGAGACCCCAGATCATGGGGCAGGTTCGCAGATGAGCTGGGGTGGGAAAGGGGGTCCCGGCCTTATTCCCCTCTTCTACATCAGCCTAGAGGCAAGTAGAATGGGTACCCTCACTCTCACTGACGTAAACTACAAAAACATGGATGAAAGACTTCCTTCGTGGTCCTGGGGCTGAGACTCCAAGCTCCCAATGCAGGGGGCTCAGGTTCGATCCCTGGTCACCCTGGTCAGGGAACTAGAGCCCACCTGCCACCACTAAGACCCAGAGCAGCCAAATAAATACATAAATACTTTTAAAAATATGGATGAGCACAAGGAATGAAATAATGAGTTTAGATGGAGAGAGAAGTGAATTTATGTAATAGTACATATAAGGTTATGTGTATATATATGTTATGTATAGGGTAGTATCAGTTCAGTTCAGTATACATATACATAACTAGTATATGTTATGTAGCATATGTATAAGTTATGTATAAGGATTAACATATAACAGGGATAGCCAGTACCATCCACTGAACAATTGCTCTGTGCTGAGCATGGAAGGGAGCACAGTACACGTGTCCCCCATCTAGTCTGCCTAATGCCCTTATAGGGGAAGTGTTGGCATCATTTCCCTTTTACAGAGGAGACTGAGAGTTAGGCTCACTTGAGAGGCAGAGGGGGCCGCAGTGTGAGAAGGGCCTGGCCTGTGGGCTGCTTGCAAGCAGTGTCTTGCATCTGGTCTCCATTCACAAAGCCGTCTATGAAGTAAGGATAATAATCAACCCTGAGACATGCTTGGAGAGCCCTCGGCAAGGCCTAGCACCTTCCATGTGTTTTAGGATCCCTCTTCCCTGTGCCTCTGGCGAGGGGCACTGCAGGCCTGGGGTATCCAGGCTCCACCAAGCATAGGTCAGGCCGGGCAGCATTTTGACCATGGGGAGTCACTGGAGCATAGGGTTGGGGTCTCGGGAGACCCCACCTGGCTCCAGCCCATTGAGTTCTGGCCATAGTGGTGCCATGGGTGACCGGTCCAGTCCAAGCCCCTGCCCTTTGCCCTGACTTTGCAGTTTGCAAGGCCAGGCGTGTTCTTTACCTTCCTGGGCCTCAGTTTCCACACAGGACAAATGGGTATTACAGTTGTGGTCTCTTCATGCCTCTTGTGAGAGACAAAGGGGAAAACTTTGGAAAATAGCAAATTTTCTCCCAGGGAGGCAGGTCTTGGCTTCCTGGTACTGCTGCCCCCGTCTGACCTAACAACCCCCTCAAGGCCCTCCAGGCCTCAACACCATCACCTCCATGTTACCAGCCTCATCTGCTGTCCCCTCCTTGCTTCTGAACATCTGCTCCTCTTGGTACCAACAAGCTCAGGCCAGGTCTTCTCAGCCTCCTTGGCTGGGTAGGCCCTGGATGGCCACCTGACCTCCAACTGTTGGGGTGCCCCCAAACCTCCTTTCTAAACACACTCTGCTCCTGGTGAGGTCATCTATTTCCTGGGGTCAAAGGCCACCTGTACCTAATGCCACTCATCTCTCCCGCTTGGACCTGGAGTACATGCAGCACCCCCCTCAGCCCATTCAACCATGCGGGCATTGAGCAGTTTCTTGAAATTCACATGCTTTTTTTTTTCTTCTTAATTTTTAAAAAGTTTTAGCCATTCCCCGTGTATTGTGGGATCTTAGTTCTCCAACCAGGGATCAAACTCACTCCCTTGGCCCTGAAAGCACAGAGTCCTGACCACTGGGAATTCACCCTTTACATGCTTTCACATGGAGCAAATCTCGCCACACTCCCTCACCCCACCCTTTTGGTCCCCATTTCAGTAAAGGACACCAGGCCACCCCCCCTTGAGTCCAAGCTCTCGGAGTCTTTGGAAACCCTTGACTTCTTTTATAAGTCTGAGTTTCCCTAGCAATCATCACATAAATCAAGATGTATACTTTTAG